ACCTTTAGCACATTCCTCTCCTTTACTTTCTTTTTAGTCTCCAAATCCTGCCAAATTCTATCTCCTTTATTAGCGCTTTACTTTTACCATTACAAAAATGCTACTATTGTTATTATAGATCTGTATAATCACCCTCCTGGGCTATTAATAACCTCATCTGTCCAACATTTCTTTAGGCTTTGATACTACCCACAGCAATCAATCTGTTCTTTAGTGTGTTTTTGTTATATATATATTTTTTCTTGCTGTATGAACCTGACCGTGCTTCTTTTTCTTAGTAAAACTCCAGGGGTTGCTCATCTGATGGAAGGGCAAAACTCTGATCATGGGTTTGTAACTTTTTTCTCCTGGTGGTGTACTCTTCAAGAGCAAAGACTATGCTTCAGTCACTGGGTAACATCTGGCTAGCAAGTGGTACATACTAAATGGTTAATCCAATCCAGGCTTTCAGTTAGTGGCTGCTGCCTTTCATTACTTCCATGCTAGCTTAACTATGATATGACCCACAGTAACAGTAAATCAGTGCGCAAGAAATTTTCTGTTTAAAGAATTTAACCCTTCAGAGAGACTTCATAATGAGTGCCATGCAACTAAATTGGGGGTGGCAGCAGAAGGGAAGTGTTTGTATTCCTGGACCCAAACTTACTTCTAGGAGAACAGAAAGAATAGCCTGCTAATTGGATCCAGGGTGGAGAAGAGATATCTAATGGCTGAAAAAGTTTCTTTGGCCGCTGTGGTCATTGTTATTTTCTTTAAGCATGAAGTTGGCTCTGTTTATTCTCACGGTTTTCTTGAAGAGGGGGAGTCCACATTTCTCAGATGCTTGTCTGGGAATTGTGTCCACACCCATGGACAAAAGCAGAGGTTTTGATACTAACAATAAGAATCAACAGGAGATTTGGTTATGAGAAGAAATGACCACTTATTTGCTCTTTGGAGGTTTTAATATTTATCATGAGCAGATGCTACAAAGTCAAGCATGCATGGGTTTTCTATTTTGATTGAAATATATTTTTGGTTGTGAGCCTAGCCTTATTGGGTCCTTAGTTCAGGATGATCTTTTTGTATCAGCTCGAGGCCAGCATTTATGAGATGTATTTCTCAAGATACTAGAAGAAAACAGTTTTATCAATGGTCAAGGAAATCTGGGAAGTGGTTTGCAACATATATTCTTCTAAAATTGTTTGAGTAGATGTACACTAATTAAAGTCTCTCTCTGTCTCTCTGTCTCTGTCTCTGTCTCTCTCTCTCTGTATTTGTGTGTGTAATACCTGCAAATACCTTGGTAAACTGGGTTTCTTGACTTCATTATTTTCTTCTCATTTTATGTAGACTTCACTCCTGTAGAGAGGTTGGGTTCCATTAACTGAACAGGCTTTGGTATCAAAGCAACTTGAAATCTTAGTACTTAGCCAGTATTTCCTTCTTCCACTCATCTGAAGTGCTCCCCGAGCCTGTTTTCTTTTGAGCCATCATAATACTCAATCTGCTGTTTCTTCATTTTCTTTTGTTAATAGAGAATAAACCAGCAGCTTAGTTTTAATTAGTGGGCTCAACTTCCAGCTTCATACTACCCCTTTGTGCATATTTAAACAGAAACTTTACTATAGAAGTCTTGTTCAGGAAGCCTGAATTCTATATATAGACTCCTTTATTGCCCCATTCCTCAGTGGGAATGGTGCTTCTTTGATCCCAGGAGCACTTAATTTGATTTGTTTTTAACGGTTATAGAAGTAGATGTTTAGGTAGCTTGGAGGATCAGATACAGGCTTCCCAAGCTCTTGTTTCCCATACTTTTGCTAGTGTTATTTTCAGGATCACATCATTAGGTCAGCAGTCCTATATAAAGATGGAGAAGCTGAGGCATGTCAAAATAAAGGGTATGTTTCTTTGTTATCAGTGGAAATATCAAGCGCAGGGTTTAAAAGAATCTGGAGCCCAGGATCAGAGCCAGCAAGGGTCGAATTGTCACTATCTGTGTGTACATGGGCAAATTAACCACGTAGGGCTTGAGGATGAGGCTGTAAATGAGTTAACAACACTGGTGTCACAGGATGCTTTAACATGGTCCTGTATGTACATTTTTTGCTCAACTGTGTCTGGATGTTTACATAACTGGCCACATTGTAGATATGAAATGAGCCGATGCTTTTGTGTGGGAAACAGCTAAGCTTATACTACTAGATAGGGAGGGTAAGTAATAACAGATAAAGCATGAAAAGGGATACATGGTTCATTTTTATTTAATTCCCTTTAAAAATAGGAAGTCATTTAAAACTGAGGAAAAGAATGCCTGCTGCCTTTGACAAGAGGCTGTGAATTGTCGGCGTAGAGTAATGTGAGAGAGAACTCAAGATTTGTATTGAGCCGGATGTATTGAAACTAGATTCTTTCTGTTTTGTTGCTTAGCAACCACGGCATTTGTCCTTGCTGCTGCATGGAGTCACTGGGCAATTTAATGCAGGGTGGATGGAGAAGGAAGCTCAATACAGCAACCGTAGTGAAACAGATGAGCTTCTGCAAAAACCGTGCAAATGTCTGAGTCCACTTCAGCGCTAGCTCGGTCTGGTTTCAGCAACTCTAGCAGTGTCCCCCAATGTCCGTCTACTGACTATGTATACCAGAATAGCCTGGACAGAGGTTGAAGCACAGTTGCTAGGGTAGAGTCCTTCCAGAGGACACTAGGTTAAAGCTTCAGATGGGCAGTTAGCATTGTCAATCAAAGTTCAGGGGCTTGGGCTCAGTAGCCTAGGGTCAGATACTGAATGTATTCCTGTCTGCATGATACGACCTGCTCAAGTTTCTTAATCCTTCTATGATGTGGTTTCCACGTCTTTAAAAGATGCTGCTTTGCTGTAACATTTGTTTGTAATTATTACAACTGAATGATTTAGATGTGTATCTGGCACAAAGCAACTCGGCAATAATGATTGGCTGCTCTTACTATTTGAGGTCAAATCTTTTTGCCAGCATAATTCTCTGGAGGCATTTCTCCATCTTAAAGCGGCGCTCTGTTAAAACTCCTTTTCTTCTGATCGGCCACCCCCAGGCAGGCCGGGCTGTTGATGCTCCATTGCTAATGGGGGACACTTGTAGGCAGGATTTTCCTGTTTCTCAGACTGTGAAGTACAGGCTTCTCCATCCTTCAAACCAAATTCAGAGCCTTTTTGCAGAGGATGATGTAGACAAATTAGTAGAAAATAAAAACGATTTCTCCCACATTTCCCTCCTTTGGAGGAATTCTTCTCTTTGGAGAAGAGGGAAGCTGGCAGTAGACGAGAGAGAAACATCTGCGGGTTGTTTGGAAGGTAATAATAAAAGTGGAACAAAAGCAAAGGTGAGACATTTCTTCACGGGAAAAGTAACAAGAGAAAGGCAAATTTTGTGGTCAGCCTGTGGCCAATGGAAGGCGGCCTTAGAGAATTTGCAGAGTGAATGACATCGGAAGCTGCAGTACGGTGGCTCTGGAATCACATGGAACTTCTGACCAGAGGAGCCCCACACCCCTTGGAGTTCTCCTGTGCTGAACAGATCTGGTTGCCAGGCAACAACATCAACCTTGTGGACTTGATGGTATTAGAAGGTTGGTGGTGGAGGTCACCATGATAAAATGATTTCATCTCATTTTTTTTTTTTATCCTTTGTTGGAACCCACCAAGGTTTCCTGGTGTCTTTACCCAGCAGGACTGCATAGAGGATGATTGGACCATGGGCCTGTGTACCAGGTGTTTGAAAGGGTCTACACTTGGCTGTACCTAGCAGGGGGAGGTCTTTTGCCTCGCCCCTTGGCATTGTTATATAAAGCTCTTTGGAATAAAGTTCTGGACTGGTGGATAAGGATCTAGGCCCACCCGATGTTATCCTGTGTTTCTATCTATTTCTCTCCGCTCTATATTTTATCTATGTCTCTTATCTCTTACTCCTCAAGAGTCCCTGGGATAAATAAATGTGGGAGCTGGTCTCCCACATCCCCTCAGATATTACATATAAATTTTGCTTTTATTTGTATTTCCATGGCCACTAGTACATACCTCTTGGCTACTGCATTTGCCTACCTGTATCTTTTGCATCTATAATTAACAGGAAGAAAAGTAAATGTACTTTAACGATTCTACTCTTCTTTACAACAAATACAAAAGGCATCAGGAACTAAATCTAGCAATCAAATTCAGGGTCTTAATAAAAAGCCTGCAGTTTTTATTCACTGACATATAAGAGGACCTAGTTAAATGGTCCAACTTGGCAATTAAGCATCATAAAAGTTTCATCTGAATCTTATCCAGGATCCACCACGTTCTTTGACTAAAGAGGACATATAAACCCTTCCTCTACCAGTTAACCTGTGCTGGGTTGTGCTTTAACTCTCTACTGTGTGTGTAAGGAGGGGCTGGTTTCATCCTGTAAAGGTATGCTACTTAGCTGCTGTGTGCTGGTCCAATCCCAAAGCAGCCTGATGTCTGGTTAGAAGATGAAGAAGTTGTTTCACCAACTGAATTCAAGTATATGCTGTCAACAGATTTTTAAATCAGTCCTTCAAATTGTCCAGAGTAATTTATCATCATCTCTTTTCACAGCACCCAGAAGAACTAACTATATTTCTAAAAACAGATACTCCACAATCCAACAATCTCATGTAATATAGCCTTCTTCGTTTTATATCACAGTATAAGTAAGTCAAACAAAACCAGATCTCTCTATTAAAAGCACTTGAGTACTTCTCAGTGTGAAAGCAGAAGGAAAAAAGAACAAAGGAAGGAGAGACCTAAAACAGAGCAGTTACCATATCATTGAAAATGGCTACAGAAAGATAGAAGGCCACCCAGAGGTGACGAAGGTTGAAATGGACGTCGGGACTGAGACATTCTGTAAGATTCTCAATTGCAGATGAACAAGCGGAGGATCATAGTAGAAAGTTGGGATAGAGTAGTGTGTTGGGATTGCCGGGCATGGTGGGTAGGGGTGGGAGCTTTAGAGAGCATGAATGAAAACACCACATTTACCTCTTTTACCAGCAAACTCTCTGCTTTGTGCTCTGCCTCTTCCGGTACTGTTGAATACAGCGTTCGGATATCCCAAGGAACCGTGGCTGTCTGGGAAGAACAAGGAAAAGAAATTCAGGCCTCCATCTTGAAAACGTGGAGTGGACGCTGACCCGGAAAACAAGGGCAGATTGTCCTAGAGGTGGGTGGAGAAGCTTCCCCAGCCTTTATAATTTTAATCTCTATAAAAGAAGAGCCAAACAACCCTAAAGACATGACCATGAGCATTTCCATGGTTATTGCTTCATCTGTGCGTTCAAAGTTTTAAGAACAGTTTTATTACCGGGAAGAAAAAAAAAATGTGAACATCTGTGCTTGTAACTTGTTTCTATTAGAATCTTTTGTTACTGTTATTGCTGTTTGTGTTAAAATAAATTTGAAATGAATTTTAAGAACTTAACAAAATCCCATTGTAAATAGTAACATGCAAACTTATCCCTTTAGGAAGTGTGTGTGTGTGTGTGTGTGTGTGTGTGTGTGTGTGTGTGTGTACAAACAACTGGATGAAGGGAAGAAAGCACAATGACCTTGGACTTTGAAGAAAACAAGGTCATGTTTTAAATGTTTTTTTTTTCTGCCGAAGTAAGTGAAAGAGCTTTCACAAATTTAAACAAATAGCTATTTAAACAAATAGGATTCTATTAAATGGTTACACATAAACTGATAGGTAAACTACCTCTTGAAACATCTAGGCCAGAATTTCAAAGGTTGCTTTTGTTTGATGTGTCTCTAGGTGCTGGCTTATAATTTTCTGAGATGAGTGCATCACAGCCAACAGCTTCCTCCGGTCGGTACACTTTCATGGTTATGTGGTGAAAATGACTGACAGTACCACCCAGGGTACCAATCACTGAGGAGATTTTATGGCACACATTCCCCAAACACAGATGATTCTTCAGAGTTTCTGAGATACAAACTACAGTTTATATAAACTGGTCCTGATGAAAGGCATGCTCCTGGATTAGTGGATGAAACAAATGAAAATCTCAAAGCCCACCATCAGTTTAGGCAAAGTGGGTACAAGAGGGATCTTGTAGTTTTGTCTTCTAAGCTCATGGGGTTGTGGCCAGCTCTGTCAGCAATAACATCATTGTGCCCATCATTGCTTGCCCATCGTTGCTTTTAGCCTGATTTCAGACTTGGGATTTTCTTTAAATCCTCCCTTCACCCCTGATACAAGTCCCATGTAGGAAAACAATTCGTTTTCTGTTGCAGCCATAGCCTCAGTGTTCAGTAGGGTGCTTAACTGGTTATCTGTTGGATTTTTCCTGAGTGTATGTATGTAGTGTGTGTTCAGGGTACAACAGTGTCTCTGCTGTGTGTGGGTGTGGTAAGTGGCTCAGTAAGTGTGTGTGTGATTAGTGTCATGCATGAGTGTGTCTATACAGTAAGTGTGGGTGTGAGGTTGTGGTTATACATAAGGGCATGCTACTATAGTGTGTGTATATATATGCTGTAAGTTTGTGTGCTGTGCACGGGTATGGTATATACATGCCTGTATTGTGTTAATCTGTGTATTCCTGTGCGTGTGTAAACACATGTGACACGTGGGTATGTCTGTGGGAGTATGCACATGCACATGTACATGGGAGGCATGGTTTTTGACATTGTGAAAGAGGAAGAATGTCACATGAGTCTAAGATCAGAGGATAAAAATAACGAAAAATTCAGTGTTCCAGATACTCTATTCAGTAAGTGTAATGTTCAACTTAAAATACAGCTACAGGGAGAGTTAGTTCACCAGGCTCCAGGACTTCATGGCATCTATAGAAGAGGACACAAGAGCAGGGACTGCCATCTTAAACCAAGTGTAGACAAGGAGAGCAAGTGTAGGTCTTGAAGATGAAGCAGAGGTCTACAGACAGACCAGGAAGTGGTTGTTTCTGTGTAGAGTGCAATGAAGCCAGGTTAGATTTTTTTTTCCATTTATAATTCCTTGTACAAGTCCTTCCTTCAAGTTGCTTCTTTATTGTTAGTCTCTCTGTGAATACTAACAACTTAGTCTAATCTGAGCCTTGGGGATTATTGTTTAGATTTCGGTGACCCAGGAATGACTTTGGAAAGACAGCTCACAGATACACTGAGTTACTTGCTTTGTTTTCAGAAAGCACTACAAATTAAGACTCACTCATTGTTACATTAGTGATCTAGCATAATGAAGATAGACAAATAGTTAACAGCCATGTGCAACACATGAAGCTGGCCATCATTCAGTGGGTTGAAGGATTCCTGATGATCTGTGGTCACGACATGATGTTGATCCTTAAAAATAAGATCACTGTGGCCAACTCACACTCATGAAACCATGTGATAAATCTAGGACATTATTTTGCAAGTTCTGTGCATGTAGAATACTGTTATACAACCCAAACATGGCACAAGAGAAGGAATATGATATGCATGTGTGTGCATGCCAAGACATGCTGACAATCTCAGTATAATGCTGAAACATTTGTTTAAAAAAACCAAAAGGCCTCCATGAGGCTAGAACTTCCAAAAGTTTGGGATCCTTCCACTTGTTTTATATTTGTTTAAAGTGCTTGTATTGGAGCCCAAGTAACTTGGTCAAAATAGAAGTATGAAGAATCCTATTTGTTAAGGGTATTAATACATTTAAAAAGAATTTCCTTTCTGAGAAGTCGGTGTTTTCAGACCACTACAAATTGTCTTGGCCACAACAGACTTCCTGTTCTCGTTAATACAGCTCTGTTCCACAATTGGTATAGCTCAGTAGCATGGAACAGATCTGAGACCGCACTGGCGCTCGGCCGAGCTCATCTGGTGGCAAGAGTTTTACAAGGGGCGCATTGTCAGGCATTTGGAAAGGAAAACTCTTTTGAACTGATGGCCCCAAGCCTGTGTTTGCAGTTTCAGGCCCACAGTATTCAGTGTCTTTGACTGCAGCCCTGTGACTTCCTCGTTCCCTCAACGCTGCACTGGGTAGTCTTTGTGGTTTTGTTGCAGCAGCCATGCTACTGGCTAAAATGACGCTAGGTTAGACTTCAGCCAAAGTGCACAGGGGCCTTTCTCAGCTTGCTAAAGGTCACCGTTAAAGTCTGGGATGGATTGCTTTTACTCTCCCAGGTGCTGAGGAAGCTCCCTATGTCAGTTCTTACGGTAGGTCACAGTTGCTACATACAAGGACAGGGAAGATGGCGGTTAAGGAAATCCATCAGTCCTAAGATGTAATCACCCCCACAATGAACAAGTAGCTCACAATTAAAATACATCCTGGCTTAATTGTGTGTTGAAAAAGAAATGCCACTTAATTTAGCAGGTTAAGACACCGATGTTGATTTCTGCTAGAGAAGATGCATTACCGTACTTGTTTTAAAAGCATTTTTAAACCACATTTCAGAAAGTAGTAGCAATGTGTTTTTTTTCTTATTTATTGTTAACTATGTGAAAATGGCTCTTTAATAACTTCACTGTGCTTTACAGGGAAACTCTTCTAGTTTTGAAGAAAACTACAGACTATAGGTTGCACAAACGGTGAGCAACCATCCATAAGTCGGTAGTCATCATGATCCAGCAAGGTCCAGTGTGGTAGTTTAGTTGTTATACTATTTAAGTACATCAGTAAGGTTCATGGTCTTGAACTCTCAGACCAACAAAGTACCAAGACAGTTATTTCACTTTTTCTGTGGTTCAACTTCTAGATCAGTGGTTCTCAACTTTCCCAATGCTGCGACCCTTCTATACAGTTCCTCCCGTTGTGGTAACTCTCAACCATAAAATTATTTCGTTGCTACTTCCTAACTGTACTTTTGGTACTGTTAGGAACTGTCATATAAATATCTGATATGCATGATATCTGATATGTGACAGGAAAAGGGGCCGTGACCCACAGATTGAGAACCACTGTTCTAGACTCAAGCACATCTTCCATCCCCTAAGGAGGCAAGAATGAACCACTCTTTTTCTTTAACAATGATTATTACTTGAGCTCTTGCAGACTTAATGGAATACACGTGAGAACTTGATACATGTATAGCACATAACGATCTAATCTGGGTAGTTAATATTTCTGCCTTTTTGCAGGTGAAAAACTTTTTTGAGAAGCACACGATTGTGCATGCTACACAAGGAAAGATGTGAGAAGCAGTAGAAACAAGTGCTCCATCAGCGTAAAGGTACATACGACACCAGCATGTCCCCTTGATAAGTTGGACTCAGGCCTGTAGGCTAAGCCCACCATGCAGGGAAGCTGAGGAAGAAGCATGTTTGCCGTGATCCCCACAGAAGAGCGTTGTGCTGATGTGGTGGGCTGCCCACCCTGGCTGACTCCACGTGGCCTTTTCCACAGGACAGCCCACATTCCTTCTTCCATGATGGTGCCAGTCCTACAGAGGGTCTTTACTCTGCCTTTCACCTTTCAAGAAACCTGAAACTTATTCTCTGTAATTTTCAGGTTTTAGATAGATATCAGCTTCTTAAAACAAAAACAAACAAACAAAGCAAACCATGGCTCCTCACCCCAAGCCCATCTTTTTCTTAAACTCTATAGTTACTGTCTGTGCCATACAGGAAGTCAAGACGTGGAATATTTTAGATCCCAAAGGTGTGCTGTTGATTGACCCAGCCAGTCATTTTAGACAAGTGTTTTATTATATATAAGCAGGTATGGTGGTCAAGGAGGACTGTCAACTTCACAGGATTTACAAGTCTCTGTGCAGATCTGTGAGGGTTTATCTAGATAAAGTTAGCCCCTGGGCCCACCTGACCTGTGAAGGATTATCTAGATGGGTTTAATTGAGGAAGGAACACCACCTTAAATATGGGTGACAACTGTTTCGCGGTGGTGACTCACATTTTTAATCCCAACACTTGGGAGGCAAGAGACAGGTGGATCTCTGAGTTCGAGGCCGGCCTGATCTACTGAGTGAGTTCCAGGACAGCCGGGGTTTTGCAGAGAAACCCTGTCTTGAAAAACCAAACACACACACACACACACACACACACACACACACACACACACACACACACACACACACACACACGTAATACCTTCTGATGGGCTAAGGGTTCTGGACTGAATAGGATGGAGAAAG